TCCCCTCTTGCCTGTGCTAGTTTGCTTCGCTCTGCGGCCTACGCGGACGCCTTTGTGTAATGTCGATGTTTAATCCAGCCCCTTCCTTCCATGTACACTAGCGGTGCCGAAGTCTAACTGACGTGCCATCTCACCGTCAGGTATCCTTAAAGGGCACACCAGAATGACTTTTGCTGCCGTGGAATCATCATCAGATTAATTAGGGTTGCTCTGTTTTGCCTTGGGGGTCTGGTCCAGGATTCTCGTAGGACGTTGCATGGCGACGGTCGACTAATACAGTAGGTGCCCAATAATGCTTAAATTTACGAAGATTCCCAAAGAAGTCTGAAGGCACTGACCAAAACGTTCAGTTGATCTTGAGAAAAAAGACGACACAAAAAAGTACTGATTGTAGGTTAAAGTTGCCTACAGGTGGTACTTTTGGAAGAATACGGTAGTACCAAGCTCGCGGACACTTCACGACGAATGAATTTGCTTGCTTTCTAGAATGACTAAATGCACTTTGTGCAAACATATGAATATAAATAATCCCTAAGGAGGTATGTTAGCTAGTTAATCCTTTGACGTTAAGCGAAGTTTCCTAAAATGCTAGACATCGTTGTGGGCTAACATTTTTATTTATTGGTTTGTCTAAAATTCTGTTGTAAACAACTGACCATTTTCTGGTTTCCTAGTAGACTTAAGTGCCAGGACAGATCTCTAAAAAATTTATAATATAATGAACAAAGTTGCCCGTGCTCAGTAGTTTCTGTTCAAAAAAATTCTCTTAAATGATGTCTCTGAAGTTCCAGAAAGTACGTTGCCGTCTTCTGTACCCTTACTCGGTGCGAGCCAGAGTCGCTGTGCCGAAACAATATGACAGTGGCGGTATGGAATGGGATTATCACAAGAGCACCCAGTTTCCTGTTGGTTGTTTGCAAGGAGGCTCTTATAGGTCTTAAGTCATTAGTAATTACCAGCCATGGTTAAATCGATAGTGTTGATCAAAGCCGTGTTTCAATGTCTTTCACCAAATTATTTGATTTACTGTTCGGGCTAATGGTTGACTCTCTCTAGGTGTTGACTTACTCCAGTTTCCTTACATTTTGTATTTTTTTTTTAAATCTTATCTACTCTGTCACTATTCGTTCGGCGTTCTAGAACCGTCCTTCCGAAATCAAATAGTGCTGTAGTTTAGTTGACAGCCCACCTACCCTATTAGTTAGGCGGACTAAAAACATAACCCTTGGAGTAAACCGTAAATTGCTGATTTGATTGTGCATAGTAAACCTAACTGTTAGAACATGGAATTTAATCCTCTTCTTGTACTGTAGCAGTAGGTCCTATCTACCTATTAAAACTAATGCATTTTAAGCTTTCTGGCAGCATCCAGTGTTAAGGTTAGCGGCCTCTCTCTTAATTGTTTCTTCCCATTTAATTCAGACAGGCTAATAAAGGCTTGTCAGATAAACATGGCCTCGCTCGCTCATTATTCTTTGTCGCTTTTGCATTCCACCGACCTGATGCAAATATCTCCACGTCTTTTCTAGCTGGAGCTCACAAGCGCCTACATCCTGGGGGCATGTTCACGCATGGAGAAAGCGTTGGCAGACTATAAACAGCTGGGAAATCTCAGCAAGCGTATATCTGCCGTGATGTGCAAAGAGAACGGCTACGCTGCTGTTCATCCTCTAAGTCGGGTTTGGTAACCCCGGGACACCAGTAACTCTGCCCAATGTAGTGCTGACCCCCCATTGGAGTCTCCTTTGTATACTAGTCCTATCAGTTGATCCTTGCCATTGCTTTGAATATTCAGAGTCTTATTTGCTAAACGACTTTCTGCAAAAACTATGTTTATTCTCCCCTAGGTCACACGTATGTGCGCAAATTCTCGTTCAAGTGTCGCGTAGACATCACCTGGTTCGAACTGCTCACTTCCAGCGGGCGTTTTCATCTCGTCTTCTGGCAACTTTAACCGCCCAAAGGCGCAAGCGCCCGCCAATATTTGGCGCGGTTCCGTTGCACATCTCGCGCCATTCCCCTACGATGCTTGCTTTAACTGACAAATTGACATCAATCGCAGCCAACTAGCGTTCCGTTTCACGTTACCATTGCTTTCGTCACCTCTGGACTATGATAATGGTTCGTCTGCCAACTTCGACCGCGTAGGAAGTACTGTTTTAAGTGACATATGGTGGACATGCATTTTGTATTCTGCAAGATTAGCTATAACGCTAGTTAGGACGTACACAAACGGTCCGCATCGCACAACAGAACCTAGGTTAAAAACTGAATTTATTAAATACGTTAACCATCGAAAGTCAGTTGACCCAGCCG